CCACCATGTTATTAATAATAATACTATATATTAGTAACAGATTTGTCATGAGGGGGAATGCATGTGTATGTTTCTGCATATTTATCGCACGTCCATACGGTATTCGTGAGTGTTGTCTCTCACCATAGCACAGATCACTCTGCTGAGGTAGACAGGGTTTGCCCGTTGAATGTAGTCATTCTGTTTGTCACTGAGGTGCTCTGGGCTGACCTGCAGGAGCTTCAGACATGCCTCTAGGACCCCAGGCTCATACTGAACACAAAAAAAATTTTCAAATAAGGCTGTGATTACACATGATCGTTTCACGACAGTTGCATGTTGTTGAGTGTCACATACCTGACCAAACGACCAGGGCTTCCCGCTAATGTTTAGAGGGGTGCCCATGTACACCAACCCATAGTCACTCTTGATGTACTCTTCTATATGGGCGTCCAGCGGTATGTACACTGGATCATCTGAAAAGCAATGGCAGCGGTGTAGAATGACTTCTATAACAAGATAACAGCAAAAGCAGTAGCCAGTAGCAGGAAGGAGCATTACTACATGGACCCACCTTTGTGCCAAGGGTTGCAGAGCAGCACAAAATCTCCCAGTGCGTACGTCCGTCTGTTCTGTGCAGTCTGTATGTGGACCCAGAGGCAATACACTCCCACCGAAGATAGAACAGGGGAGCAGATGTTGATGGTGACTGACTGGGTATGCATGTCGCGTGGATACACTTTGGCTGACCAGCAATGGGGGTCGGATGGCTTGTCACAGAACTGAACTGGCATCTTCTCTGACATATTGCCTGTATGGGGGAAGAAAACAGCAGTTTAAAGAAGTTTTCTGGAAATGTTCTTTAATTCTATCCTGTCTTTTCTTCCCTGTCCTTTATCCAGTCCTCTTCTGCCCTGCTTGTCTTTTCTCTTCCATGTTGTCTTAATATGTCAGTTCAGTCTTTATTTCTTAATCCCTCCTGTCTGTATCTGTATTGTCCTTTACTTTCCCTCTTCTTTTATGTGAGATAAATAGATTGATACCACTCTTCTGTATGTGTGCTGAGAGAGAGCTGGCATCAGGGGACAGTTAGCCTAACAGCATAAAAGATTGGAAGCAGGGAAAAACAGCTATCTGACACAATATCGGTAGGTGTTTCTTTTCACTTTAGAAAGAGCCAGGGAAGCTGGGTAAACCACATCATGGCTCCAGCTCCATACTTAAAGGTCCAGGTGTGTATGATTTAGTGGCATCTAGTGGTGTGGTTGTAGATTGCAACTCCCTAGTATTTTCAGGTGATTATACACTAATGAAAACATAGTTATGCATATTATATTTTCCATTTCTGCAAATATTGTTAATAATAATAATAATAATAGCAATCCTATTAAATACACACTGGATCTTCAATGGACAAACGTGATATGGATCTTGATTTTCTCATCTTATTTAAAAGCAAATTTACCAGTTTTACCATGTTGAACTAGTAAAAGCACGTAAAAGAAGAGTCATAGTCAGCAAATAGACTCTAATATCAGTAATACAGTAATATCCATACATAATAAGATTTGCAACTAAGCTACTACCAGACCAAGTAAGGCTTTCGATTTTTATTGCTTATGTAGTTTTGTTATTTTTTCTTTCATAAATTACACTGTCTTGCATTAACTGTGAGCAGACTGAATCCTATCTTCCATACCTAGCGAAACCTCCAGGACCAGGTTCTCAGTGTAACCATTCCACCAGTTGTTGTAAAACAGCAGAGTGACACTGAATGGTTTCCCTCGTCGCACCACCAGGTGCTTTTTGCTGAGCCCCAGTGTCTCATGGGAAGTGTGGTTTTCTTCGGCCTCAAAGTTGACCAACTTCAGTTGGCAGAGGCCGTTTTCACCACCTAGGAAAACAGATGATGTATGTACTGTGAAAACCACATTGATCTCAAGACTGGAGGGGAAATAACACAAGGCCATGGTGAAGGAAGGAGAGAGGCAGGGGTAAGGAGAAACAGGGGAGAGGGGAGTTTTGGAGATGAAGGCCATTTTGACACTGTGTGTGTTGGTTGAATCATAGAATTTCTCACTGCAAAAGACCAAAATACCATAGAATATTTAGTCCAGGAAACATACCTAACTAAGTAACAGTTATTAACTATGCTGAATTGTTTCTTTTCACATTGTTGTTCACAAGTTGAAAAAGTGTACTGCCTCACTGTCACATACCTTTACTATCCACACACACACACACACACACACACACACACACACACAGACACATTCTGTTACATTGCCTGCTTTGCAACCATGTCATTTAAATTCATAGCTGTACAGTCTGTCTTTGTGAATATGTTAGCACCTCAGTGATAGAACTACTTCACACACACACACACACACACACACACACACACACACACACACACACACACACACACACACACACACACACACACACCTGTTTCAACAAAACAGTAAAAGAAATATATATATATTCTTCAGTAGAATATCCAGATAGAGAGGCAATCATTTTAACGCTATCTACTTAATTTATGTTGAAATAATACTTGCATCTGATTCATCTGATCTGGAATAGGTTAAAAGTTTGTTAGAATTTCTCGTCAAGCCAGAAATTAGTGACTGAACATGTAAAATATCAAGAAATCATCAATACTAAAAGTAAACACAAAAGCATGCACACACCTTTCTCTGGAGAAGAGAAAGCTTTAAGTTAAGCATGACTCGCAGAGTGAACTCACCACAGTTGAAGTGTATTGTCTGTTGAAAGCAGTCCATGGTCTGACAGACAGATGAGTTACAAGCGACTTAAGGAATGACAAGCAGGCTCCACCTTCCCACTGATAAACATCTCACTCTACCTCTTTGTTTCCCCCTTTTTATTCTACTTTCTGCTCCCAGTGGTCAATAGTGGCAAACTCACCAATTGTAACCTTTATTTATTTATTGGTTTATCTAGCAAGGAGAGTGCACAGTGATAAATGTTAGCCAGGAGACAATTATTCATCTGTAGGCAAGATAAATCTGTTTCAACTTTTAAATTCCTTCTAAAACACTCAGGCTTTTCTGTGAATTTACACAATACAACAATATTTTCCATGTATCTTTGTGATTTATTTTATCTTAATTATTTATTTTATTTTATTTTGGCACACACTGTTATGTATTGTATTTTTTTGTGTTATGTTTTACAAAGCCAACCTGAGAATATAATTGAAATTCTAGCAGTGAGACTGCAGATTGCAACCAACTGAAACCCATTGAGTCAAAGCGTGAAAGAGAAACTATGGTAGATGAAAGGCCCTGTTTAGAGCCAGTATTTGGTTTGTCCATTCTGGGCTACTGTAGAAACACGGCAGTTCAACAAAGTGGCCTGCATGGAAGAGGACCTGCTCCCTATGTAGGTAAAAACGGCTCATTTTAAGGTAACAAAAACATTTTTATTATCAGGTGATTGTACACTAATGAAAACCTACCTATGAATGTAGATCCTCTAAAATGTTACACACTGTACCTTTAAGCAGGCATAATGTTTACAATCTTCATTTGCTGTGTTGCCATCCATCTGATCTGGTTCTGATTAATCCAAGTTTTCACATTTACTGTCTATGAGGTAACAGTGAAATGATGTGATGAAATGGGCACACACCTTTCTCTGGAGAGTACTTTTTACCTAAGCAATTGTTTACTGTACAAACTCAAATAACAACATTTATACAATTCTACATTATGTGTTAAAGCCTAAATGCTTTAATGCAGTACATGTTTAGCACCATTACACAAGACTTATGACAACGAGTTTCATAATGTCACTCATTTTCTCACAGTGACACAGAATTCATGGCACTCATACATATTGTGATATTGTGTTGCTTTGAGTGATGCATCACAACAAAGGTGTGTGCACCTTTCTCTAGAACTGTGATTAGTGAAGGTGTGACCAGTGACAAAACATCTTGTAAAATATTTGTTTTGTTACAAATTAAATATTATTATATTAGATATTCCATAATGAAAATAATCATTAGCTGCAGTCCCATACAAAGCAAGAAAGAAGCTCCACCTCAATCAACAACAAATGTATGAGTAATAATAATTTAATATACTTTAAGAATGTTTTCCTGATTATACTTACATTCTTTCACTTAAGTTACATTTTCGATGCAGGACTTTTACTTAAGTAAAAAATCTGAATCCTTCACCACTGCACAGTATGCATAATGCTTATTCTGTTAATTCATTATGGATTTGTAGTGTTTCAAGTTGACATTTTAAGATTTTAATTGTATAGATTCCTGGTGGTTTGTATGCAAATAACTTGAACATGAACTGAAAAATGTTTACACATTTACACTGCAAACCTCTTTCAAGTGTGGTACACTGCTCTGAAATGTGTGTAGCTCTTAGGGTATTTTAAATACAATCAACAATGTATTTTTATATTATTAATATACACTGATCAGCCATAACCATTCTGCAGTCCCCATACCAACAATGTGACGCACTGTGTGTTCTGACCCCTTTCTATCAGATTCAGCATCATCTGTTTCAGCAGTTTGAGCTACAGTAGCTCGTCTGTTGGCCTGCCTTCGCTCCCCAACGTGTATCAATGAACCTTGGCTGCCCATGACCCCGTCTCTGGTTCTCTTCCTTCCTTGGACCATGTTTGATAGACACTGACCACTGCAGACCGGGAACAACCCACAAGAGCTGCAGGTTTGGAGATGCTCTGACCCAGTTGTCTAGCCATCACAATGTGGCCCTTGTCAAAGTCCATCAAATCCTCACGCTGCCCATTTTTCCTGCTTCTAACACATCAACTTTGAGGACAAAATGTTCACTTGCTGCCTGATATATCCCACCCACTGACAGGAGCCATGATAACCAGATAATCAGTGTTATTCCCTGTCAGTGCTCACAATGTTATGGCTGATGGGTGTAGATTATATATTTATAGTTTTGGTGTTAGATTCACTTTTGTGTTACAGAAAAACAAGACGTGATACAAATGGGTCAAATCAAAATAGTTAACTTTTTATTTTTGTCAAAGAAAATTTGATACAAAAGGGCATATTAGGGCCCATTAATAATTCACAAGTACAAACCTGCATTTATTTATTTTTTTACCTAGAATGTAAGGACAAAAATAAAATTTGTAAAACAGAATAACTGGGACTGATTGTTAGGTTGCCAGATAAGTTTCCCTTAAAAGCACTTCGAACAGCGACTGGATCAGGGTTGGAGTCAATTCACTTTCGGTCTGTTAAACCACAGAAATTTCATAGCACTAGTGAAATTCTTTTGCATCCAACAGTGACTTTTAACACATGATAAGACACTTTTGTATAAGAATCAACAACTATATTAGATATTTTTAGTTTTGCGTCAAATGTCATATATTTCACAAGGAATTCAGTACAGCCCTGACCTATTATGCTCCTTCAATATGCTCCAATTTCCACAGATACTTATACAGAGGTATCTGTTCTGAATTTTAACTGAAGGTGATTTGATTTCAACCCTGGTGCAAATGTTATCTTGAACACTTTTCAAACAAAACAAAACAAACCACATGAAAACATTGCATTCCATCACCCTGGCCACACACAAAAAGAAATCCTGATTTCAATATTAATTAATATTTTACCTCAACAAGGCACTGCATTTGTCCTGCAGGGAACCAAAACATGAATGACACAAATTTCACAAAGGTGGACAACATGAACTGCTCACATTCTGCAAACAATGTCGACCAGTTCAGCTGGATGTTGGACGTTAAAACCAAGACAGACAAAAACAAACATGATACATTCTATGAGGGTTACACGGGTTATAAAAGGAGCCTAACATCTTAGAGGCGTGTAACACCGCTGTCAGTTGAAAACTTTTCAGATGCTGTTGAAAATATACACTGGATTTTCTGATTTCCAGAGCTGAAGATAAAGGAAACATGACTGTAGTTATAAGGTTTTCACACATTCACGTGACAGTTTGAGGCACCCAAAGGAAGCCCTATATAATACATGTACAACCTTAGATCAGCAATGTTGCCTGCAACATCGAGATTATCTTTCATCTAAGCTGATGTGAGAACGAATGCCGCGATCAAACAAGGAATTAAGAATTAAGTTACATTAGTTATTTCAGTCAAAGTGCCAAATACGCTGTATTTGTGAATATTTTTCTCTTGAAAATATGACGCATCATTAGCCAATGCAAAGGTTGCACATGCACGACGGGAAAGACGGGGAAATATATTCTCTATGGGGGAGACAAAACATGGCAAAATATAACTGATACTATGAGAAGCTATTTTACAAACAAAATACTTAAATTCTACTACAAGAACACATTTATCAATGCACAATTAGCTTGGATTTACCCAAAGTGTGGGTATAAAGTTACTTCCTGCCAGAAAATTGGGGGAGAAAAGAAAAACTTTGTACCATATTTTCTATTAAACCCCTTCTTTAAATAAATATCAAATTAAAAAAGACAATTTGTATTTTCCACACACATGCACCCACACACATCTTAAAACCCAATACTTCAGGAATGCAAAAAAACATGTTAGCTTACATAACTTAGAACAAGAAAAAAAAATTGGATGCAGAAATTTCTAACTACAACAACACAGGACACGAAGCAGGGCAGTTTTTCATCTCATACTCTGAGTACATGATGTGTTATTGCTGCTTACTGCAACTGAAAATCAATGTGGTAGAAACAAACCATGTAGTAGTATGTGAAGGCGGAGCCTGATGTGACTGTACAGGACAAGAAGGAATTCGGGGCTATAAGATAAGATATCCAAGGTACCTCCCTTCACATAGAGATCATTGATTTAAGGCATGAACATTAACTTTCTGAATTGATTCGAAGTGCATATAACATAACAGGAAGTCCCTGTTTAACATACCTTCTGCTGAACCCTTTCTCAAGTCCTCACTGCTCTACACTTGATTAGACTGGTAAAAGCAAAAGATGCAGCTGTGCTTTAATACACCCATAATGACAAACAAACCACACTGAATGTTTCCAGTAAACACGCAACCAAAGGATCTGCTGAACTTCTTTAACTGTACGTCAGGGCTCAGGGCCTGCTGGGAGATTCCCAACCTGGCAATAACAGTCGGGTGGTTCTGGGAGCATTACTCTACAGGCATCTGGTGAACTTTTCTCGCCTCAACCCTCGGCTGAAAAAGTCGAAAATAAACATAAAAATAAAAATACACGCAAGCTGTCTTCAAGCTTCTTCTAGACCTGTAAAAACCTATTATCAACCTACACAACACCCATGAAATGCATCTAAAACGTCACACTCTCATACATGTTTTGCATCAAAAACATTGATTTAAGACTTTGCTCTGCTCTGAACACCTGAGACTATGTGCTACACGCCTAGCTAACTAATAGAGAACAACATATTCAGTATTAGTTTTAACTCGCTAGCATAACTGCAGCAGACTATTATAACCTGGTTTCCGGCACACCAACAAAACATGTCTTGACCTTTCGGATTTTAACTGTATGATCTTCCTTCAAAACCACAGTATGAGTCACACTGAGTCTCCACCTTTGTCCCTCGGACTCTCTAAAATGGCTTTTCTCCAGATGACCAAAGGAAACGTGTATTTTGAAGAAAAATAACAAATGTCATGGTGACTTTCTGTTACCATTTTCTTTGAAGAAGGATGAGGATCAAGCTCCCCAAAAGCATCTTAGTTCTTGTTTGCGTTCATTTTTCACATACATATATGAATACCCCACTAAAGACAACCCAGTGGGTTTGAGGGCAATTAAAAGTGGACTCCAAGATGCTTTTGGACGGGGCCCAGCACTGGATCTGCACCTCTAATAATGCTGATTCCAAAAACCCTTAAGCCTTCTAAAAGAAACCAGTCTTATGAGTTGTAGCATGTAAGCTAATCTGTGTTTAGGAAACCAGCCCTGTGAGTTCATACTCCCACACGCAAACACCTGCACGATCCGCTCGGATAAAACATTATCAACAACGACAAACACCTCACTTGATACAAAATATCAAAATAACATTCATATAAATAATTTAAATAGCTATTCTAAAGCTAAAGTCTTGGTCTAAAATGTTTCAATGGCCAAAGAGAAGTGCTAATCATGTGCTATACAATTTGGGGGAATTTTTGAGATTTTGTAGTTAGGGTGGTATTCTGGGGATCACAGGCAATTACTACACGAAACATTTTCCCCACACCCCACAACATTATGTGTGGGTTTTTGATAAAAGATACGTCCATATAACGTTGATTTCCAGCACTCCTTCCAGAAGCCCCGAGGAAGAGAGGACACGTCCTAAATCTAGAAGCTTACATGCTCCTCCTCTCCTTTTTCATTCAACTGTTCCCAAAAACTTGTGATAGGTCACCAAAGTCACAGTCAAACAGTTCACTGATGCCTTCATGGTCCTCCAGTCCAAAGTGGTAGTCATGACTGTGTGGGGGGGAGAGGTTGATGAAACCGTCCAGTGGGAGAGAGAGGCCCTCTCCATTCAGGAAGTCCGAGGAGGAGAGGGGTGAGAGGTCAAAATCGGGTATGTCTCCAAGGCTGGCAAACGGGTCGCCTCCCAGGAGCGATTCTGTTACGGAAGGTCAAACGTAACAAATGTTATCACAGGGAAATTTGTGGTGACTGGATTTTGATTTATTACCAATTAAAAACACAAATATTTTTATTGCCTGTGGCTCAGGAGGTAGAGCGGGTCATCCACTAATCAGAGGGTTGGTGGTTTGATTCCCGGCTTTGATTACCACATATTAAAAGTGTCCTTGCACAAGATACTGAGCCCCAAACTGCTCCTGATGCTGTGTCATCAGTGTATGAACGTGTGTGAATGGGAGAATGACGTGAAAGGTGCTATATCAGTAAAGGGCATTTACCGAATATCAACAGAACATCGGTCATAGTTTGGCAGCTTTAATTAACATTAACAATGGCCGCTTTCCATTTAAGTGAGTCATTTCCAGAGCCAAGTCTATTGTGCACGCCCAATCATTGACACGGCTTACTGGGAGACTTCTGTGGAAGAAAAACACTAACAATATGATTCACATGTGCTATGCTACGACAAGTCAAAACATCTGCCTTGAAAAGGGCCCATTACTTCAGTAGCACATGCTTTAGAAAAAGAGTCTGAGCTTCTAATTAATAGCTCAAGTTTTGAAGTTTGAGAGGAAAACAATGTACCGGTAAGTAAAACATGTCTTAAATACGTTCTCCACTTCCTCACTTTGCCTCATTTTAAGCAAAAACATTTGCTGTTTACAACTTCCCTAATGTGAGGATTTGATGCATTTCTTTGTCATACATGATTGTACGCTGATATCTTTAGGTTTTACACTGCTGGTTGAAAAACTGAGCTGAGAACAGAGAGATCAGTGAAGAGAAACGGATTTGGAGTCACATCAGCATCAAAGTCCGATTATCCAGTCTGGGACAATAAACTGCGTTTGTGATGCTAGTTAGTAAAACATATTGCTAAACATTTTGTCTATTTAAAGCTACAACCTGCTCGTTTAGCTGCGTGATGAGAGTTCAATAGGGGATAGCAGCAGTCTTCTTACGACTACCTTTCAAAATCTTGGGAAGAGTATCCCTTAAATTGATTCTCAGCATTGAAAATTGAGGGTATTCCAATAAACCTACATATATTTACCAAACAAATGAACACTCACCTGTGTCGCCTCCTAACACCAGTGATGAGGGGTCATGCTGGGAGGCTGCTGTCGCCGTGGATGACGTGGACGCTGGTGATGATAAACCCACTTCCAGGGCGGTTGTGGACGTTCTGGCTTGTGGTTTGTCTGTGTGTTGTGTGGCAGGCGGGTCCAGGGAGGCGTCAGCATTGGGTTTCGAGGGACTGCTTCCCGTCACGGGGCTGCAGACGCCGGAGCTGTCTTCGGGACAGAGGAAGACGTCGATTGGACCCCGCGAGCTCTTCAGCGATACCTGGTAACCCTGAGAGATGGAAACAAATGTAAACGGACAAGTAAAATCCTTTAAATGAACTTGTTTCAAGAAGCTGAATAACGGTCAAGCCTCGTACCTGGCTGGGTTCTGAAACTTGCATCTGGGTCTCTGGTGGAGCTCTGATCACCATGACCAGCTGGTCTGGGGAATCAAATGACTTCTTTAAGTCCTGGCAGCGCACATAGCCCAACGTGACAAACACAACAATTAAGGAATACAATACAGCTGAAAGTGGTATCACACTGAGACCAGACAGAGTCCAAGACAGCAACAATGGGCTCGTTCGAGATGAACTGTGCCTCGCTTGGGAAGCGGACGAGATCAGGCGGCAGCAGCAGGAGGCGGTGACAAAAACGCAGCAGTCAAGTCGGACAGTTTCGAGCCGCCTTCAAACAATATCCTGGAAGTCACAGAAATGTTTACATCCTGTTAGATCATCCTCAGGCTGCCTGTAGTTTTTAGATAACGTTTGGACATACAAATAAACTTTATTACGATTATTATTATTAGCAACCAGACAAGATGTGTTTGTTAACAGATTAAACGTTCACTGCACAACATGAGACCTGAAACAGCCTACAGTCTGGAGTTAAATATTAAACTGGTGGTATCAAAAATGAAAAGCCGATCTCCCATCATGCCCTGGGTTTTGCAGCCGGTAAACAGCAGCTGCAGTGTCTCTAAAAACTGCAGCCGCCTCGATCTAGTGAGGTTGTCGTTGACCACGTGTGAACGGTGTCAGAGGCATTGAGTCGGACACAGAATCGGCAGTTGGCAGCTGTACTGTCCAAAGGATATTTCTTGTTCTGTGGGTCCTCTGTGAGCAGTCGGAGCTGTAGGTTGCATTTGGAAATGAGCTCATCCAGCTGCTCCTCGGCCTCTGTGAGGTCACACACCTCCCTCTGCAACTCCTTATGGCGGGAGACCAGTGCCGCATCCACTCGATTCCCACTGCAGGAGAAGGAAAATGAAAGATAAAATAAATCAAGTGGTTTGTGGGCTTCACACCAACTTAATATTTCACTGCTGTAATGTTATGCTTACTGTTGCGTTTGTTAGGGTTTCATACGCCATTTTGATGTAGTTGTATTTATTCTTTTTATACTCTAGTCTAGTAACACAATATAGGCTCTTTTTTTTTTTTAATGCTCACAGCCACTGGATGTTATTCTTGGACTTCTTAGAGATGAGTTGGATTCCCTCCAGGACGTTGGTTATGTCGTAGATGCGTCTCTTCTGGACATCCAGGACCTGCGAGGCCCAGTTCAGATCCACCACGCCGTCAGTCGACTGGGACAGCAGGTTCAGAAAGCGCTTGGTGGTCAGGTTCAAGGAAGTGTCATACCGCGACTTCTCCGCTGTATTTCGAGGAACTGGAAAGAAAGGGGGAAATTCTGCTTTTAACAACAGTGGACTACACCCTTATTGGCATACGGCACAAACTGAAGCAGCAGTGAAGAAGAGCATCCCATCTCTCCGAACTGAATCATCCTGTTGACCTAATGAAACTCCTGCTGGCCTGGGGGAAGTAGCAAGAGTAAAACCCAAACTGTCCAGGAAATAATACATTATTTTGGATGTTTTTCCTCCTATTTTCTGGACACTCAGGCACTCATGAGGATGTTTTTTATCATTCATTCTTACTCTAGGGCAAGAAATTACTTTACAGACGCCTGCTATTTGTATTTGCAGAAAATGTCCATTCCATTCGATTCAAATGTACATCCTAGAAAACAGTATATCAGGGTTGGGCAATTGAATGAATATATCAGCTTTCTGCAGTCATTGCTGGTTTTATTTTGCTAATTTAATGGTGTGCCTCTGAAGAACAAAAGCTGCTGCTTGCGACAGACGTTCAGCAGCACAGTACACCCACTGAGCCGAAGAACGAGTGAGAGGAAGAACAGCTGTTGGGGCAGAACATTTTTTATAACTCTGTGAATTAAGGGTTTAAGTTGACCAATTGTATGACAGGGCATAAAGTACAGAGGTGATTTACTGTGCCGCCAACCAGGACTCTTACTCCAGTCACAACAAAGACATGGCGGGACCAGTCGGGACAGTAGACGCATGACGTGAAGAGCGAGAAGGAGGTGGAACAGCGTGTAGAGCCAGAATACTTTCACATCTAACTCGTTTAGACTTGGTGATGAGTGGAAAGACTTTCTTTTCTGTTGAGGTTGAAATAAGTGGTTTTTTTATTAGAGTACTTCCAAGGTGGTTTAGTGAGGATAACGTTTTTAAAACATTGCTCAATCCTACAGTAAACAATACCACCCGACAAAAACATTTCCCGTTTCCCAGTGTGTGCTGCATGCTAAACTTCACATGAATCAATTATACTATAAACAGTTTTTAAAATCAATTTCTCTTAATATGATTGATGTTTGAACTCCTTGTCAAAACATTTTAAAAGACATGCCATGAATTTGTAGTTTGTTCAGTTAACAATAACCAACTCTAACATGTGACCCATCTTTTACACTCCATGTCAGATTTCTTTTCTGCTTGTTGTGTGTGTAGTGAAGTGCATCTCCCATAAGCAACCATTCAAAACACCCACCTTATGTTTTGAACTTTGGAATTACTGATTATTGAATTATTGCTGTTAATGTGAGCGAGAAAACGACATAAATGAATTACTACATTGTCTTCCTGCATGCTTAAAAGCTCTCTTTTGTCATTCGAAGAGACCAGTAGTTTTAAATATTTCTCATAGCTGTCAGCCCAGTGAAGACAAAGACAAAGGTCGGCAGGCTGTTGTCTGCGCTGATAAAGGGACAGCTGTTTTTAGGACAATGGCTGTAGCAAAGGTCAGAGTATGTATGGATTGGATGGCTGACGCACAGCTGACGTGTTGCTTCTGCTGCGAATTTTGGGTGACAATGAAAAGAAATCAGCAGAATGAGCTGTGAGCGAGTATATGTGTACCTCTGGGAGGGGCGGGCGTGGAGGGTGGCGCTTGGCCAACGGACGGACGATTGGTGCTGACATACTGATGGTCACTATCCAGGTCCAACTTCCTCTTTACCTGAAGAAATACAGATGTTGGAGAAAGAAACATAAGCATTGTGGAAAAACTACCATGATTATATTATTACCGTTATGTACTTATTATATATTAAGAAGAGGAAAGTAAAAGTAAGCCACCAAATGTCTTAAAGCAACAGGTGGATGGACTTTGTCACGCAGTCAGAAGCAGTTTCATGTAAACATTTCAACAAAAGGGACAACACCTCAGCTAACCACTTCCCCTATCACTCTTTCACTTTCTCTCTCCCCATTCTTCCCACAGCGCCCCCCACCCCTTCCTCTCCTCACCGGAGGTCTTCCCAGAGCCGGCCGCCTCTTGTCCTGGATCCCCACATCAGCAGGGCCCTGTGGCGTGGCAAACAGCAAGATTTCCCCCGTGCTGGTGGGGGCAGCGGCCGGGTGGAGTCCCTCATTGCTGGGGCTGGTGATGATCACTATCTGGTGGTCCTCGCCCAGGTCAATACTCCCAGAGTTCAGCAAGATCTCAAAGTCAGCCAACAGATCCTCCGATGTCTGGCCCGTTATCAGAGTCTCTGACATTGCAGTGTGTCACCGAGTGGTCCTTCACTGGACTTTGGGGGTCTCAACACCGACTTGGATTTGCTGTGCTCAGTGAATTTAAGGAACAATGGTGAAACCTTCTGAAAGTCTGCTTGCAGCTGTTTATAGGCAGCTTAAACATTTCTTTATAAAGTTCCTCTTTCTCTACTGTCCGCCTTACTGCTCAACCTACTGCAAATACATTATAACCAAATGATAACCTATTGGAAGCTAACTGCTGAAAACTATTTTTAGGCTGATGGTGAAACAGCAAGACAGGCTGTTCTGCCAAACAAGGAAATTTGGCAAACAATATAATATTGCAAAATGCATACCAGCTCTGCGCCTTGAGGCTCAGCCGCTGATATGTTATCAAAGAGAGAGTCCCAAATAGTCCGTGGCAGTAATAAACGCAGGGGGTTAGCGAGCTAGCGAGGGAGCAAGCTAATCTTTTGTTTTCATCTCTCCTGTCAGTACAGTACAGCCGCGAGGCCTGGCCACAATGCCCTTAACACAGCTACCAGCCCTGCTAACGAGCTAGCTTGTGTCCTAACAACAAAGACTGAAACAAGTTAACAAACAACCCGGTGCAGCCGGTAAACTAACGTTACCCACTTAACAATATTATTTCTCCTCACACCTCACACTGGGCTTAGTTAAACGGCTATTAAAACTTTATAGCAGCATTCCAGGAGTGAGCTATCGAAATAAAATATCTACAATGCAAAAGGCTTCACCAGAACTCAAGAGCATCTTTGAGAGTACGAGCCATAAAGCGACGGGCAGTTCAGCGGATTATACACAGATACCGTTGGAGGTGAAAATGTAGGGCAGATTAGCATGCTAGCTAAGTTATTAGCCCAATTCTTCAACCCCTCGTTTTGTTGGGGCACGCAGGAAGCAGTCCGACAAACTGGAAATGTAAGGAAATAAAGCGGTTAAATACACACGCATCCTTTAAAACAACAGCCGCTGGTCCTTTGGTTGCTCACACAGTACGCGGTCCATTTAGAAAAGCGCCGTCCCGACCCCGTTATCGGTCGTTATTGTTGTTATTGTCCCAGCTGATCTACATCTAAACAAGGATCGGACAGTTTTCGCGCGAAATCTTTTTTGCCGCGAAACCGACACGTGCGCCAATCCGACGGTTCCCATTGGTCAAAAAGCTGAACTTTCCGCAGGGCGGGGCGGACGGCTTCTGATTGGTCTATACTGTAGTCTGTCATTTTACCGAGCGCAGAGTCATCGTTGAGAAGGTGCGTTCAAGTTCCACGCAAAAAAACCAACAACTTAATGGCACCGTGTTGGTTTAGTTACAGGCTTACACGAAATGAACAGACCATTACTTACACTTCATATCGGCCTCAGACAAATAAATAAACAGTAGTACAAACAGTACTTTTTTTTAAATCAACGTCTGTTAATTGTGAACATAAATGTTTGCCCCAACTTCTTAGTTTTAAGCGCTTTCATTGTAAGTTCCTATGAGTTGTGGGGAGCGTACCTCAACAGGCAGCCCTTGCTAATCGAGCGCCTATTGCGCAGCAGAAGAGCTACAAGATGGCGCAGGCAATATTTGAAGTGCTTGAAGGTAGGAATAATTTGTTAATAACCACGTAACCACAACTAGAATGAAACAGGAATGTGTGTTTTATACAACAGCGATATACCTGGACCATTTCCATGTGCGGAATGAATGCGTATGCGTCTATTCTTGTTATAACAATCCAAACATCCCATAGAGGAGAGGGTGACTGTGACTGTAAACAAACAAACAGCCTGATTATTGTCAAGACAATATGGACAGCTTACGACTGTAAGGCGTTCTCAACACAATACAGCCAGGCAGTAAAATAATGTGGGCCCCTTGTTGACACTCACACTGTATGTTAGAGTTTTGCAGCAGGCCCCTTTGATGGAAGCAAACTGTAATATTGTTATAGGACTATAATAACTGATGTGTTAGTCCATAGTGAGTTTACATCGACCACATGCTTTTTTTTATTATTCTCAATTAAGAATTCTTTCTTCTTAATTAATCATTATTATTAGATTTGTGTACATTCTTCCAAAACTGTATTACAACACATTACAGTGGAGCTTTGAATCATGTGACTCATGTTTCTCTTCCTCTTCCTCTTCCTCTTCCTCCTCCTTCCTCCTCAGGCATGGACAACCAGACAGTGTTGGCGGTCCAGTCTCTGCTGGATGGCCAAGGCGGGGTTCCTGACCCAAACAACCAGAACGTCTCTGGGACCCCCACCATCCAGTCTATGGGTATGTACAGCACATACAGTAGCTGACAGCGGAGTCAGAAAGTCTACAGCCTGTGTCGTTGGGCAAACACAAAATGTGGTTCCTTGCGAAGGGATACAGTCTTCAACACAGTGTCAGTTCAATGCAAAAATCTAATGTTAAGAAGAAGAATCACGATTACTTTAAATTGGTCGAAGGTAATGTTATTCTCCTGTTGTACTGATGGAGAACAAAGGGGACAGGAGGCATTCAGATATTGAGATTAAGATTTAGACTTTATTGTCCCTGAGGGAGATTTGTTTTCACAGCCAGTTCAACGTAGAAACACACAGACATAAACACAGCAACATATAAATACAGTAAAGACAATACCAATAGATACATTCATATATTAAGGAAAGTGTTTAGCTGACGGGGTATGCCACCCAGATCCTGATGAATTTCATCGCAAGATCAATTTTGCCAGTAAATGTCAGCTTAAATAATTGCTCATTAAATATACTATATATATAGCATTTGATGATAGATCTTTATTGTCATAGGGCTCGCTTATACTTTTAATTTACTTATATTTGGATTTATTTACTTATTCGGCTAGTCACAAGTTGGCAATAATTATGGTTATTATTGGATTGTGACTGAATGATTTGTGGTTGTTTACTCCCCTCATCTACTTTGAACCCATCTCCCTGATGTTATGGCATCGCAACCTGTCCTTGTGTCACATATTTAAAAAAAATTGCTTGCCTGTTTTGCTTCTCAAGATTAGCACAATCCCTTGATAGTTGCCACCTTATTGTGTTGGGAGGGTTTGTGTCTCCCTGCGACTCTGGGAGATGTGTTGCTGGGGGTAACACCTCCTGGTAGGGTCTGACTAGGCAAACTGATCCCAGGTGAGTAGCAAGTTTAGAGGGTGATTCCCCTCCAGGAGCAAGGCCTGTGAGGGGAGGTGCCAGGGCCTGTACCCATGAGGCTCGGTTAGGCCTGGTCTGAGAGTAACATGGACCAGTTGCCATGTAGGCTGATAACAGGCAGTGTACAACTGACTGAATAATATAAATATCCCTCCCCTTAACCACTGAAATAATATTTGAAATAGACATTTGTATGCATGGAAATGCTGGAGGGTATGACAACAGTACACAGCACTGTAGGTGTGTTATTCTTTCTCTCCATTGCTGTAAATTCCTCAAACCTCCATGTTTGCCTTTCCTACAGACGACGAAGACGTGTTCCTGTGTGGGAAGTGTAAGAAACAGTTCAATTCTCTGCCAGCCTTCATGACACACAAGAGGGAGCAGTGTCAGTCTAGCGCCCCCTCCCTGTCCACAGTGTCTTTGGCCTCCACCAATGCCTACACGCCTGTCCCTTCAATCAGCTCTGGACCACAGACTCCCGCCAACAGACAGGTGAGGATGGTTAGGGTTTGTTATGTGGGTGATTGATTAATTATTTGATCAGTGTCAGTTTAATGGGCAGTCCGTTAGTAGGTTAGGTCATACTTTGTTGGTTTATCTGTAAATGTACAGCATATGAACTAAATGAGACTACAAATGAACCAGGAAGTGATTTGGAAAAATATGCTCTGTAGATAAAATATGAAGCTATACATTAAGATAAAAATACAGTAACATTAATTTTGTCTGAGACTAAAACACATATTTGTTACTTATGGTTGTGTGTATTTAGCACAGTAGGTAAGAACTACTTTACACAATCATGCATGCATTCCCCACTTATACATCAGGTATCTACCTACATCACAGTCCCGCCCTCCCCTCTGACGCACACTCTGGTCCAAGGCAACGTGCTGGTCAGTGACGACGTTCTCATGTCGGCCATCTCAGCCTTCACCTCCATTGACCAGCCCATGGCCACCATGCAGACGCCTATACAGGTAATACAGCACAGGAGATGTTGTGCACATCACATCCTTGCCATGCAACGTGTATGATAGTTTCTATTTAAAGTTTGGGTAGCTGATAATGTCCAATCTGAGCATATATATACATTAAATAATACACTATGTTATTATCAAATCTGTCTGCTTCCTTTTTTGTATTGCAGAGTAACTTGAGCATGCACACAGCTGGTGTATCTTACCTGCAGCACCATCACCACCACCACCACCATCATCATCATCACCAACAGCAGCAGCAGCAGCAGCAGCAGCAACAGCAGCAGCAGCAGTCCTCCCACCCCCTGCCCCCCGGTCAGACACCGGCCCACCCCCTGCCAGCTGGACAGCCCACCCAGCAGCCGCTCTCTTCACAGGTCCCAGCGAGCCACAGTAACTCAGTGGTCCAGGTGTACAGCACGCTGCCCCATATGGCTGGGGGTGGTGGTGCAGAGATCCACACCCTGGGTCTGCAGCCTTTCCATCCTGTACAAGTGAGTAAAGCTTGCTGTGTGGTATTGATTATATTATGCACTATTTAATGTATTCTGGTGATGCACAAGTAAAAACAAACAAACACTGTATTGCATGATTAGATAAGGCATGTGGTTATATGCACAGAGGACTCAAACTGAAGAGCACTGAGCCCATGTGTCTCCCTCAGGTGCCCAGTCAGTGTGTGGAGAGCCAGCCATTCACCACCCCTCCCGTCTACAGCCCCGGGAATCAGGGAACCAAAACAAAAATCTGCAGCATCACCACCAACCTGACAGAGCTGGGCGACTTTGAAAAGGTCATCATTCCTAAACGGCCGAGGAGTAGCAAAAAAAGCCCAGATGGAGCCACGGGTATGTGAGGAAAAACATCAAACAACATTGCAAGTTTATTTAATTTTTTTAAATGCAGGGGCAGATCAATGTTAAGTGTGCTTTTTAGTCCTTTTGAACCTCTGTCCAGATAGGACTTTGTTAAATGATCCACTGGTTCCATAATGTTTTGGAGAAGCATTTGTCCGTTATAAAACTTACAGGCTACATTTATTAATGAATAAAACTGCAGATGATGACACAATAACCATGAAATGTATGTTGATCATCATAGGATAAATATTCATTCACTGAATTTCTCTCCTCAGCAGAGCAGCTGAAAGGAAAAGGTCCAAAGCTGAAGTGTAATTTCTGTGACAAAATTTTCTCGAAAAACTTTGACCTTCAGCAGCACATTAGAAGGTGAGTTAATGGCTAACATGTTGAAGCAGAAGAAAGGGAATCAATTTCTTTCCACTCATGATATTTATTTTCTCCCTATAGTCACACAGGAGAGAAACCGTTTCAGTGCATTGTCTGTGGCCGAGCCTTTGCCCAAAAGTCCAACGTGAAGAAACACATGCAGACACACAAGGTTCTAAATACTTAATAATGCTTTTGTAATTATTTTTATGAATTATATTTTGTAATTGTTTATTTTTTTGTAAATCGACCGTTTGCTAAGCCCTGCACACCATGTTAAGAAGGGTTAAGCGAACGATCAGTTGACTACAGTTTCTTTAACTTGACCAATTCTGAATACTCAATGAATCTGCATTTTAGTGTTTATTAATTTAACAGTAACAACATTCAAATTGAATGAACTGTTGTCTTTAAGAGCCATTCATCGCTATTGACTGGGATTTTTTTTGTTTTGTTCGTGGAATAGCCTGCAATATTTGGTTTGCAGTAAAACTTAATGTAAAATTTGCTTCCTCAGATTATTCCCATAAGATGTGAACGCAGCGTAGTGCCAACAACACAGTAACAACAACTGTCTTTATGTTAAAGGTGTGGCCTATGGGTGTGGCCAGCACAGTGTCAAGATTACCAATCACAGTAAAGGTGGTATCAATGTCATCCAATGAAGAGGAGGGGAGCGGGGAGCAGCAGCAGGGGGAACCAGAGGAGGAAGGGTCACAGCAGCAGAACAGTCAAGTACAAGCAGAAGAAGAGGCAGCTCAAACAGGTAATATCTGTTTAATACA